GATAAAAAAAACAGTTTCCATGGTGAGAATTTGTTAATTACTAACAAAGAACGACGTAAAGCTCATTTACATTTCTCACGGATGGTGAATCTTCAAATCCTATCAAATTGTCCAATTCTTTAAAAGAAATACAATTACTTGATTACAGTTAAGAATTAATTTCGGATTATCCGACATTCCCGAGCGAGAGAGAGGAGAATGTTCAGAGGGATAAAATATGGGAGTAGTTTGTTTAGTAGGAAGATCTCGCCCCTCCTCTCCCAATTGAACCCGAGGGAAATTGTATTACTCCCACAGAAAGGTTTTCCCTTCGATTTCATTTTCCAACATAGAGGGAACAAAAATGGATGGAACTGATATCAATTTTTAGTTTAATAACAATTAGCATAATTAATGCTAATGGACAGTAATTATACCAATAGTGATTAATTCCAATGTGTCATCACTTCTGCTAATTCCTCTTTTATTGATTCAGCAATCTTGTCAAATTGAACCTCCAATTTTGTGACCAAATCTCCTCCTTGTTGATTTATTCCTGTCCCGAGAGATTCCTTTCTTGGCTGGTCAGCTACTAGATTGATTGCACGTATTCGCACATGAGTTCGAGTATAGACTGTGATTCTTAATGACTGTGATATCCCAAAAAGGGAACTTTTTTTGTAATTTCGACATTGCTTACTTCTTATTTGCACTTCAATCTTCTTCAAATTGGTTATTTTCTGCGCTAAAAATAAATTTACGAATCATTGGACTAAGTCTTCTATTCGACTCATTTTGCATGTAAGTACCTCCTTTTGCTATAACTTAACATATTCACTAAACAATTCACGACAAATACAGATAAAATGAATTGAAATAGCCAGAAAACTGAAATATTAAAAAAAATCTGTCTGCAACGGCAACTCAAATCAATTATAAGAACTTTCACAAAAATTTGTAGAGAAATGTGGAGTATCACAAAAATATTACAGTAATTAACAGATTAGATAGGAGTAGCTAAAATATTAAATATCAAACAATTTCCAACAATGATCGTTATAAAGATTATAACGACTACTGAAATTAAAACAAAAAATGAAGCAAATAAAATTGTTGCAAAAGGATGCAAACAATGTACTATTGATAAAGTATTGTCATCCCAATGATATTTGTGGCTTTTTAGGCCTGAATTCTAAAAATGTCCAACCCATATCATTTCTAATAAGCATGGGAGATAAATTCTGGAAGAGATCAAGAATTAAGAGGAAACAAAAAAGAAAGGAAGATTTTTTTAAAAAAAAGTGATTTTAATATTTATTAATTTTACACGTCATTCAGATCTTTCAATTATAATTTTATTTAATACAATTTTCTTATGACGACTTCTGTAATTTGATTTTTTTCACTCCTCTCTCTTCCAATTGGAATGAATAGGTAATCTGTGCTTTCTCGTTTGATACTGCTCAAAATCGCTTTCCGATTTGAACTACAAATATATGTTTTAGTTGTCATGTTGGAGTGAGAGAGGGAGAGAGAGAGAGAGAGAGATTGATGGAAAAGAAAGATAAACACGGAAATACGTCATTTCAACTCAGTTATATTGTTGTTAATTGTAGAGATTTGAGAAGCGCACCAAAATGCAAGTCAAAACTTTTAATTTAACTTTAAAATTATTGTTTCACACTCAAAAAATTTTTTTTCTTTAAAAAAATATTTTCTTTTTTTTTCTTTCGTTTGAAACTTGATAGTTTCACCTCTGTTATTCCCATAATTTTTTAATCCATTAGGCACAGATTAGTTTTTGCTTTCACATAACCTACAAAAGCTTACTTTATTTGACATTCTGTGCGAATACTCCTCAACCGGTCGTTTATTCCCTTCATCTGTACAATCTTCAAGCAAATTGCAATTTACTGCGTCATTAGCATCCTCTGCCTCTGAAGAATTTCAAATCTGATCTGTTCATTGCTGAAGGATCATAAAATTATTTATTTTACTACTTCAACAATCAAATATTTCAAACTATCTTTTTCAACAGATAACTTTTCTGAAAAAGTTCAAACAACTAATGCTACGCAAACAACTGACTTACACTTATATAAATTAATTTAGCTATTATCAACATCATGGAACTCTTGTGATAAGCGGATTTCTGATAGACGCTATGAATCACATTAAAAAGTCTTATCAACAAAATTAGACAAACAAACTTTGAAAAAGTTTAACATTTCCAACAGTTAGCGGTGATGCTTTGTTGTCCGAAGTGATTTGTTTCATTTTTAAAGTGCGATATTGCGTATAGCTCGATTTCATTCGTAGATATAATCCATTTAAATATGTCTAAAATTTGCTTTGTTTACCGAATAGCTGTAGTAAAATTTGGTCTGTAGTCATGCAACTGTTAGAAAATATAGTAAATTGGGTTAAATAATGCTTACTTATGATTGATGTCAGTTAGTAAAACTCGAATAGTATTCAAATACATCACAGCCGATGAAAAAATACATTCAATGTCAATTAAAATAAATTTTCGAAAATGATATTAAGCAAAACCCACGATATCATTGTTTAACATCGGGTACATATTACCGGAGACAAATTCTAATTCTTTTAGTGCTTTTATGGATGCGAATATCAAGCGTGTAAGCCGTACCAAACAACAACCGAATTCAACCGTAAGATAACATTTATCATTATCAATGACTCTGAAAAAAAAAAATCAGGTAGAGTGCTGAGATTCAAAACCTTAGGGTGTAATATAAGTCAGTTTTGATTGAATAGAAATAATGATATCTTACGAAATTAATGAAAGTTTTAATTTAAATTCAATCATAACCAAAAAAGTAACATACATTACATGTATACTCAAGTCACTGCTATTGATATACACGAATTTAAATTTTTTTTCAAATATGTGTACAGTGTGAAATGAATTATCACCAAAATATCTACATTAAAGCATTAATACTCTTGAAGAGTTTAATAACATTCCCGGTATCATACAAAAATTGATAATTGGTGGCAATACCATTGAAGCTGAAATTGATTTGAAGCCAGAAAAAAAACATAACCTTGCAGAACGTTCAGGTGAATTTTCCCATAAACAATTATTCGAACTGAAATTGATGGAAAACGGAACGGACTGGTGATGTGACTGTTCCGCACACGGACGACAAACTGCATAACCTTTGTGTTTCATACGATAACGCTGTGGAATTAATTGATATTGCAGCGGATTCTCCTCAAATTTGCTATTTCTTGCTTTGAATTAGTAAAATTAAATTTCATTGCTAATTTATGGATATTTTTAAAGCACAATATATTTTTCAGACTTTATGGAAATTTTATAGGACGAGGATTTTGTTACGTTTTTCTTCTAGCATAGCAAAAATTATAATCTCAATTTATCACGAACATGGACTTATCAGATGAAAAAATTTTAGAATCAGTTTTAAAGAAAGCTTACACATCGTTTAGATTCTTGCGCTAAGGCACGAAGATGCTTATCGAGCAAATGTTGTCGCCTCTGAAAGATAAAAAATTATTGCCAAATATTTTACTTTTGATCGTATCTGATGGACTGTTTCGCAAGTATAATATTATCAGAGGGAGAAATTTTTCAAATTAAAAATTTCCAGTTACTTTTTTTTTTATCAAAATCACAAATGAACCATCCAAATATCGCCATTATAGCTCAAATGATGATTGCTCAGGAATTATGATAGTATGATCTGAAGATTTAGAAGAAAAAGAAAAAAAAATTGTTGACCAAATCTCTTTGAGTTTCACTTTCGATCTGTCGTAGCACACTAACAAAATTATCGTTACAACTGTTCAATGTTGCATTTCTTTTTCTGAAAAATCGATCGAATTGATACGAAAAAGAACTTTGATTTTAGAACGAAATCTTGCACGATCTAAATTTATTCATTATATTGTTTCTTTTAATTTCCTATTAATAACAAACATAAATCGTTCGACTCTAAATTAACCTGGAAGAACAAACATGATTAATTAGCCACTGTTGGGGAAGAAGGTTATAAATGGGAAATAAAAATTAATTGGTCGAGATTAGAATTGAATTATAGATTTAAAAAAAGGAAGCGTTTGCTGTATTTCCGATATATACCGAGCATTTTATAATAGTATTAAGGACAGTAATTAACTAAGGATTAGAAAATCTAGCTTTCGTTTTAAATTTCCATTTTTCTTTTATTTCGTAGTGTACAACATTTCGAAATATCAGCGTGCAGCGTGGTAAGTCGAAGAAACTTACGTCAAAGAGCAACTGCAAGCAGTCATATCTAAAAAAGTTTTTGATGCACTAAATGAAATGCAATTATTAAGGAGTTTTTAAATTGTTCACTTATGTAAATTAATGATTTAGAGCTAGCTGAATAGACAAATACTCCTAAATATTTAATAGATTGTTAAATTTTCCGACACAACGATTCTTTTTTCCCTTTTTATACAGGTAAATTTAAGCATGAATTTGAACAAGTTGGCTTAATCATTGTTTTTCTTGACGGCTCAAAGCAACTTAATAGATGACGGAATAAATCAATAGTTTTTTTGAAACCAAACAATTGAAGAAAAGTGAAATTTTTTAGTTTGATTTGATTGTTTTACTATGAAATAGTTAGTTGATGAAGTTCTATTTATTATTTGATAGGGAGTTTTATTCTTCTTGACCTTATCAGAAATCATCAACAGTATAGTCGATGATCATTGGTCATTCTTCATTTGTTGATCAGAGAGAACAGTTTGGAATTGTTTGCTAAGATGGCAGTTCAAAAGGAATTCGAATGGACATGGAGAATATATTATCATATAACATCGAAACACTTTGAAGAATGAAGTTAATGTTCAAAGAAAATTACTTATATTTCTTTAGGTATAAGAAATTAATAAAGCAAACAAACAGATTATTTCATAAATAAAATTCATAGTAGCAAGAAGTTATCTGACATTTAATGACTAATCATTTGATAAATGAAATTAATTATTAACCACTTCTTTTCGAATTATAGATCAAGAAACAAGCTAAACTAAAAGTAAAAATGATAATTAATTTTGTAAAATCAAGAATCAGGTAAATAAAAGGAATTGAAAATCAATAAGGCAATAAATTCTTCGATTAATAGTATTCGAGATAAACTACCTTATAAAAAATTTTCACCATATAAAATCATTTTCATTATTTTAATACTTGGTATCACGAAATTATTTCAGCTTTCCGAAACAAAAATTTTTGTTCGCAATTGTTGTTAATAACCAATTTCTGTTGCTTTATGGCGAGGTTTGACTATCCTAGCTCAATGTCCAATACTTTTTTTGGCAGAAAATAATATTACCAATCAAATACATAAGATACTGCTGAGTTAAGAAGAGGCTGTAAAAATTTGTATATGCAAATTTATACGATGAATTTTTTTGAAGAAATAACTTGTAGTATAACTGATTCATATAAATCAAAAATTGTTTGGAAAATTCGTTCCAAATTAGGTGTATTTCTATTTTTCCACAATGTATTACTGGTGGACAATTGCAAATTTAAGTACGTCTTTGAGTCTGATTAAACAATTTTATACGCGATTCTACACTTGGCATAAACTTTGGTCTATTTTTTTTAATCGTCATAATTAGGTGAAGTTGATGAATTGCTTGAAAATTTGGTTTAGATGTTTACAAATCTTTCACTTAGGGCATTTTAGTTTTAAAGCAATTGATTAAGTTTACCTGAAACTTTTCTCCCGAAATTGCTTGGGATAATATTAGATTTTAGACTTGTTTCATTCTAATATTTTTCATAAATTTATTTTCCTTATTTTCTTAAATTTGAAATATTTTCGTTTCACATTTACATCCGATTGATGCACGTATCCCTCATAACTTTTCTTCTGGCTTAATGTCTCTTTAGAAATTTTCCATACAGAAGCTTCTTCCATAAAATTTTCTTTTAGGTTATTTAATTGTAATTAAAAATTTTTACGTGCCTAAAATTACGGATTGGAAGTAAATTTTTTTGTAGCACTAACAGCTGGTGGAATTGTGACTCTGATTGCGTATACCATTTACGTGCTGTTTCAACAAATTAATGAAGAAAATTATGATGAATGGAAAGAAGGTTATATGCCCAAATATCCAAAAATTCCGTGGCATTTGGACAGAGTAAATTTTTTCATTTCAAATATTTGCTAATTGTTTGCAAATAAATTTAATATCAGATCTGATAAGCTTAAATAACATCCTATTGTTATGAGGGGAAAGCTTGCATACTATTTTATTCGTTTAAGCAAGCAGATGACCAATAGGTGCATTCTTCACGTTATCCTTTTTTAATTAAAAATGGGAAAAAAAAAACCATTGAAAAGTTGAATCACAGACTACTAAAAGAAATTAAAGAAATAAGTTTATTCCGGTCGCACCTAATTTATAGGATCAGTTCGATCATCCAATTCGATCTCGAATATTACATTAGATAGAAAAAATTCGATACTCTCTTTAGCAATAAAAATTCAAATAAGCTTTTATTTTAGGCAAAATCATCATGAAAGATGACAACGAATTGTTTGTTACAACAGTTATCGCTATTTATTTTTCAGCAATTTCCCATTATTTGTTCCTGCTTAAAACATTTTTTTTCCAAATTGTATTTTTTGTTTATGATGCAATATAATAGTGAAAAAATCAAAAAATTTAAAAACTGATGATTTGAATAAAGTTTTGATAGCGGCATTGTGTAATTGCCTATATCATCATTACCTTATTGAAATACTCAAATTGTATTGTTTCTTTACTCATATATTCAAGTAATCTTACCACTTCTTTATTCAAATATTCAAATAATTACATGATTCCGTTTTTTAATCATTTAAGTAATCATATCATTTCTTCGCTTAAATATTCAAGCAATTAATTGTATCATTGGTATTGTTACTCGTTTAACACGAAAACAAGCAAAACCTCCAAATATTTTCACAGATATTTTTTGTTCAGTTGAAGATGATAATAATTTCTTATTATTTATAATTTCACATCACTAATTCTTCCTCACTTCCCACTGCAAACCGGTTTTATGTCGGTTCCTTTGTTTGTTCCGTACCTATCCAACTTGTTTTATCTTCAATTTACAATATATTTGTGTACAGTTTAGTTCAGTACTTTCAAATTTTCTCACATTAACAATCTTCACTTTCATTGCTACCTGAAATTCTTTTTACTTTAGAATTATAGAAAAATGTCTAACTTCACCATTTTAGTTTTCATGAAATGGTTAGATATTATCGAACAGTCATCAAATCAACTTCAAATTTCATTAAACCATTGAATAGCTTTACAAAATAAATTTAACTGTTTAAAATAATTTAAGCATCATAGCTATGCTTCAATAGAAATTACAAATTTTTGGTTGCATTTACTTCACATTGAAAATATTTTTGACTTCGCAGCTTTAAAATGTTGTTTTCGTCTAAATCAGTTGATGTTTTTATATTATAAATCAACTGTTTTTATCAGAAATCTTTTACTCCTCTATTAATTTACCTAAGAAAACATTTCTTGAAACTTGGAACTAATTACTAAATACTAAATAATTAAATACCAATTACTAAATAATTCACATGCAAAATTTGTAGTTATGTGATTTTCAGATCACTTTTATGGATTGCATTCCTTATCATCACTACGGAGAGATCATAAATTGATTATATTCTATTTGATATTATATTCTACTTGATATTATATTCTATTTAATAACAAAAATATCGTTGGAGAAGATAAACTTCAGATTTGCATACGCTCCAAAAAAAAAGACTTCTCTACGAGAGGTTAGAGAAGACTTCCAACAATTCTATCATAAATCGTAGCTTAAAAGAGCTTATCTCTTCTTCACATAACAGCTATTGATGACTTACATTCACCTCCCGGCTCATTCAACCCTTCTTCATTTCAACAAAGAAGGGCAAAAACAGATTTGTCGTCATCAGATGAGATTAGCTATTCATTTACACCTGTTTTTATAGTTAAGCATTTGGTTGACAAGTCATCAAGACGGCTGTTTACAACGTCGTCATTTCAGCAAGGGACACTTCAAGAGCAACAACCTCCCTCCCTCTCTCCATTCTTCCTTAGTTTCCAACTCTCCTCATCACATCGCTATCTCTTCCCCTTCCTTCTCCCTCTCTTTCATTTATTGATGCGACCATCGGATACAATCGCTGTTTACAACAGGCGTTCAATATTGATTTCAGGTAGAAGATATAAGAAATTCAATGTTACCCTTCTTGCTGTACATCGCATTGCAATTTATTCCCCTCACAGTTCTTTCTCAATTAACCTTTTTAGAAAACATTGCGCATTGCCATAACCTCTTCCAATTTATTCTTTTTTTTTTTTAAAAATTTTCTTTATATTTGTACAAATGTTACAAATAGTTGGCTTTATGCAAATTTGATGATAAAAATTAAATTACATATCATTGAACTGTTGGAATTGTTTGTTTCTTCTCAGTGCACCTTTTTTTCTATCTGATAGCACTAAAAACGGGAGAGATTTTTTTTTTTTTGTTATGTATGTGTGATAGACTCGAAAAGTTACATCATCACAGCTCTGTGTTATTATCCAATCTCCTTGCATTGCTAATTCTTTCACCTATTAACTGTGCAAAATAATTAGCCTCGTTTTAATTACGCTTACATTAATTGTTCAAAATAGTCGTCCAAATTAGTCATATTTACAGATTGAGCATTGCGGCATCGAGAATTACTGTATCGCTGTATGGAATAAATTAGACTATTTGATGGCAATTTTTGTGATAATTACTGCGAATTTTTTCGAATGCAATGAAAATGGGCGAAATGGATGATGCGGCACAAGCGAAAGATAGCGCGACTGACGATGATCAAATGAAGAATTTTGTGAATTCCGGACGTAGTGGAAGACGGAATGCTGTTCCGGAAGTAAACGTGCAAGGGATAGATCCGGATGCTACAAAACTTGCAGAACGTTTATCGTCAATGAATACAGTTGGTCAAGATAATTGCAGCATAATTGATACCACAGGTAACAAACATAATTCATTTCTGAAATTAAAGGCAAATAAACTGCTACTTTTGGCTCTTTCGTCACTCGGTGTTTATTGGAAGAAATTAGTGATGGTTAAAAGGCACTAATCTTAGTGTGTTAACAAAAATTTTCTCGTGTCCTTCTGATCTCCTTATCAGCTGGAGCTCTTATCATCAGCCATGTCTGGTAACTTACCATTTACACTATCGCTTCAAATTTAATCTCCAAATTCACTTTGTGTTTTGTTCACTTATATTTTTCTTCGGATTTTCATTTTCAATCATTACATTTCAGGAGAAAAAGATACAGTTAGTTAGCAGTCGATCGAATAGCAATTAGTGAACTGCTTGATAACCTAATGAAATATGAATGCTTTCTCATTTCTCATGAGCACGAAAGAAAAATTCAAGAACTGTATGTTTGCTGATAATAAAAGAAATAATATGCGGTAATTCTGTGTATTACTGTAGACTAAAAATCACTCGGTTATTGCCTTCTTATCACAACCCTTTCCTTCGATAATAACTAATCAGGTTAGGAAGGTTGCAATTTATCGAAGGATAATAACAGTTACTTTCACTGTCGTCTTGCTAAGCGACTATTTTTTCGGTAAAATTCGGAAACTGATCGGAGATCATCACTTTCCTGAAGACGAAACAAGTAGAAGGCCTAGTTTTGTGCGTTCGATTATTATTTCCATCTTTTATATTGTATTATAATTTTCATTAGTATCATATTGATATTATTGCTTGCATATATTTCTAAAATTCTGTTTCATAGTCGATTCTCAAAATTTTTTCAAAAGTTATGCGGTCAAACACTCATCATTTGATCATATATTGATTAGTTGTTGTTAGATATTTTATTTTAAAGAGAAATGGCACATATGGTGCTCAATTATGCTCTTTATCTATTTACTCTTACCTATTTGTTTATCTTAAATCAAAAATGCAGTCTTCTTTCTTCTGCATCATTCTTCATTTCTTGAAACCATCCATCAGTTTAAGAGACACTGACCGGAAAAACTGCATTTTCGCAATTCATGGTTCCTTCAAAAAAGTGAATCTAAGAAAGTTTTCTCCTCGCAATTTCTGTATTATTTAACGGATTTTTTTTTTAGGAGATATAGTTTATTTTTAAAAAAATTCCAGATTATTCTGGCGCTGTCATATTTCAGGAATATCTGATGTGACGTTGGAAATTTGGATAACTTTATGCTGGGATGTAAATTAAAAAAGTGAGCTTATTTGGGCTGATACTCATTATATTATCTCAGGGCTTAATTTCCCAGTAATTCAAAAAGAAAAAATTCAACAATTTTTCATTGATCTCTATCATTGTTTAATAAATCAAACTGTTTTCGATGTGTTGTTTAGTCTTCAGTGAAAAAGTATGATTGCCTAGCAGATTACATTTTTTATTTTTTAATTTTCCCATATATTATCAGCAGCTGTATTTTTTCCACTCTACTTTGTTATTAGTTAATATTTTCTGCTTTGTAGATTACAAGCCTTGTCAATAAGTAGATTAAAATCTCATTTTTTTTTTAAATTCGAATCAATGTATTTCTGTGTTCTCGGTTTCTCCTAGCACATTATATTTTTATTACTTACTTTAAGTCGCTATTCAGTGCTCGCCTTCAAAAATGTACCTCATTTTTCCTTCGGGAAATAAAGTACTGATAAATGCACTAACTCAGAAATTAAGTAAATGAAACAATTCGATTTCATTATACATATATACCTGATGCTTCCGAGAGGATCTCTTTTGCAGCAGCGAGTGAGTGCCGAATAAGCTGACATTTTCCGTTCATATTTTCATTATATTCTGATGCTCCATTTAAATGTTTTTATGAAATTTTTCAAATAATATAAAGTTTTCACATTTTTCAGATATTAAAATCTTACACAGATTATATATTGGAAAGGAATTTTTCTTTTTCATTTTTTGTATAAACATAATCATTAAACAATGAAGTATAATTTTCATGTAACACCAATAATTTAAGAATGTGATGTATAAAATTTGAGAGGCATTCATTGCGGTTAGTTTTAACAGAAAAATTGCTATTAAGTGTCGATAATTTGTTGATTTTTGTTTCCACTTTTTCGATATTTGTAATTTTTTTTGTGCAGTTTTCGATTACTGTATTGTTGATCGGTGCAAAGAGCTGTCGTATTTTTTTTTTTTTTTGAAGGACATTTGGTGTGTAAGAATATTGAAAAATAAATTAGTAGAAAGGCATCAACTTTGTCAATTATATTTGGTTAAATCGTTTATAGAATCAAGGTTTGATTCTAATGAGCAATATTTTCTATAGTTTTGTAGTTCCCGAAGTTGTAAAAATTAATTTTGTTTTCAATTTTTATGTGGAAATATGTGGAAATAAAGCTTGTAATAATGCTGCATCGTAATGAAACTCATTAACAAAAAGTATATCATCTTAATAGTAAATACTGGACGTATGATTTTTTAAATATTTGCATGGAAACGATTTAGCTTATAGTGTAAGTGAATGGTTGTTGATTTCTTGGATGTGCATTCTTGAATTAGCAGTTTAACAAACTTTATTGCTAAGTATCAATAAGCAAAATATTTTTCATTCACATCAGTGAGAGATTAACTTAATTTACAGAATTTGTTGCAGTGGAATTGCAACTTAGAAAAATGGTCCTTTTATTTTAGTCAAGAATGTGTCATAGCCTCTATTTATGTTTATTCAACTTGTAAAAGATAGTATGTGAAAGATATTACTGCTATCACTTTAGTTTGATTGTCAAATCGCTGTACGATTTGCTGCATGATAGATATTTCTAGCTTGTCAAGAAATTAGATTGTACGATAATTTCAAGTTAGACGTATCTCGAAATAGTTTTTGTTTCATTAAAGAATAAATATAATAGAACGATTTTCCTTTTTTTGCAGATAGAAATTAGGATTGTAGGAATGGCGAATGCGCTGCCAAAACGTATTACGAAAGAAACGCTACGTCTGATGAATGATCCCGTGCCTGGGATTTCCGCAATACCCGATGACAGTAATGCTCGTTATTTTCATGTTATTATTGCTGGTCCTGAAGGCAGTCCATTTGCTGGTGGTGTCTTTAAATTGGAACTTTTCTTACCGGAAGAATATCCGATGGCTGCACCGAAGGTTCGATTTATGACCAAAATTTATCACCCGAATATCGACAAGTTGGGACGGATATGTTTGGACATTCTGAAAGAAAAGTGGTCACCGGCACTTCAAATACGTACCGTTCTACTCTCGATCCAAGCGTTACTCTCAGCACCAAATCCAGACGATCCATTAGCGACAGATGTTGCGGAGCGATGGAAGAATAATGAAAGTGATGCGATACGCACAGCGCAAGAATGGACACGTACTTACGCAACTAGTAATTGAGTTGAATTGAGTCAAATATGGTCACGTCAATTTAAATGACTAAAATTTTCTTTATTGCTTATCTGAAGTTATTAGTGTGATTAGGTATGATCTGTAAGATTCTGCTTTCATATCGTTAGCAAAATTTTCGTTCTGTTCCCTACTTCTGGAGTAAAAAGTATGAGGAAAATTTCCATCTTGATATTGCATAAATTATTTAAGCTAGGCATCTAAAAACATAATTGTTTCGTTATCAAATGGTTATCAAGTTATCTTCCAAATATTTATCGGACTTTACATTTGAATTTTTGTCATACATAAAGATCTACTCGTATCACCTTATATTTAGAATCCATTTCTTTCGGAAGTGAATGCGAGAATTGCAAAAAGTATATAGGATTGAATGTTAGCGCCAACTCTTATCTTTCGTCCTTTCTTTGACAGTTCTCTGACAGTGTCTTGATATCACTTTTTCTTATGACAGATTTACAGCAGCTATGATTTTATAGTGGAAAGCAATTATGTTTTCATTTCAAAATCTGTTTCTTTTTTCTGAGGATCTCTACGAAAAGTTTTTCCATGGATTCTTTACATTGGGTAATAATTTCTGTCTTTCTTTTTCATATTCAGAGAATGTAATATGTAATGAAGATGAAATGCTCATTTTATTGCAAGGTTCCGGCATTTCTTACTTCATAATTTCCCATTTGGAGTTCATTTGAAAGTGCCCTTATATTAGAGAGACCGAACGTTTCCATGTATAGAATATCGAAAGAGCACTTATAGTTCTGGAAAGCTGTACATGTGCAATAATCAAAGTGCCAATACAACTTTAATTTTTCTCCAGGAAAAACGAGACGAAGATAACAAGCGAGCAAGCAAGTACATAAAAGTCACTTCGGACACAGCAAATAGCTAATTATTGAATTGCACGTATTGCAGAAACAATTAAAAGGAAATAGTGCAAACATCAGTGACCCGCAATACGGATTAGGGAAACGGAACGTTATGTCTTTCCGTACATGAAATGTCATTTGAAAGATGCTTCAAGTGGATGAAAGAAATAAAAATCCATAGTTACTGCTTTAGAACACTTTTGCTTGCTTGCCATACTCTAAATAGTTATAGAAATCGATGTTTCCAATCCATAATGTTGTTGTTCGCCAACACTTAAAGCATGGAATATATTGTGAAATATCTTTCACAATATTCAAAATTCTGTGATTTATTATGGGATTTAGGTAGAAAGACTATTACACCCATGTAAGCACCAATTCTTAACCTATCCAAGCGAAACGGAAATATGAAAAATAATCCGGGATTGTAAAATCATTTTTCAAACACTTCTCTTCGTATTGGAACTGATAACGTCTTAGCAGAGCCAGAAAGTATATTCGAGATATTGACAATCGAAAGCACTAGCACCAGCACGAACCTTCTTCCGTTTCTATCTTTCTTGGTTTAATAGGACCAATTTCAATCACTGGATCTATAATATGGCCGTGGATCAAATTAGATAATCAGATGGTACTTCTGCAATTTCCCATTCCGACTTGTTAATGTATCGAAAATTTATCTTTGACTTCCTATGAATGTCCTTGCCGTTATGAGAGGCTTTAGTATATATTTTAATTCCAAACTCCGTACAGAATTCGGAAATCATGTAAGGAAGATTAGATAATAAAAATGGAATTTATCACAAGTTTTAAATAGACCTTCCTGTGAGAAACTTCTTTGGATAAAATTAAATATCCATAAATTCTTAACTTTCGAAAAACTATATAGCTCCCATGTACTACAGATGAAAGCTAGACCAATTGAATTCGAAGTTTTTGTTAAGCGCTTTATTAATTAGCTGGGAATAAGAGAAAAAAACTCGGAAACATTTCAAAATACCCTGGAAAACTTAAGAAATTTAAAACAGTAAGTGATGGATAGAAACATATATTTCCGCAGTTATTATGGATTCTTATAAACAACACATAATACAACGACATGTTTAAAATATTGAGCTACCAATGACGATCTTGTTTGAATTCGTTCTCTCGAAAGCAGTGTTATACGAATCATCATACTGTTTCATACATTAAGCGAATTTTTAAATTTTAAAAACCAAAAATAAATTCAGGAATGTAGGAACTGCTATGGGACTACAACAATTCATACGATACTGTTACCGAAATACCCAGGAAAACAGAAAAAAAATAAAAGAACGACAATAAACAAGACAATACATGCTGACGGAAAAATAGCCTTCGCAAGAAACTGATGCTTTAAATTCTTTGTAAAGCAAAAGAGAATTCATTCAACTCAGATGAACATCAAACTTGCAAAGCAATTCAAGCAATGAAAACAGAACAACTTTCAACAAATCAACAGTGGTACCACTCGAAATGTATTAAAGCGACTGCATTTTCAGTGTCGATAATAATACGAGATATTTTGCGTAATCACTATGATAATATATAGAAGATATCTTGCGACCTTAAACAATTAAATTTGATCTTTTTAAAAAGTATCAGAAATGTAGATAGTTTACCATTAACAAAAACATGTCTATAAGGAGTACATATTAAATTTTCTCCTTGTATAAGTTAAAAAATTACTTTAAACAGACAAAAGCAGAATTCTGTGTATTAATGTACTCGAATTTTAAGATGATCGCAGGAAAAAAAGGAAAGGATATGAACTTCAATTTAAATAAAAATAGTAATAGTAATTATAATATCATTTTGATATCGCGCACAACACTGAATGCATGCAAATATATCAAAAACCGAGTAATGTTTTATGGCGGTGATATCCTGGTTGATATTTTTCTATGCTAAAGCAACAGTGATAGTATCAACACCAACAACCGCTTTCTTGCATTTGAATCTGTCGGATAGGAGCATCGCTTAACTTCACTTCTTGCACTACAAACAGAAAACATGCAATAGCTTTACGTCAACTGCATCTCCTCCACATAATTCCACTAATGATATGACTCAATATAATTAAAGCAAAGTTTTGACAAACTGTGCAATTTTTATTATGAATGGTGCTATTCTTTTACTGATGCTACAACGCCTCTATTAATGATAGTTTTTTTGAAGTAATACTCAGCTTGATCAGTGATTTATCTCTACTACAAGATAATTTTGTTTAAAATCTTATTGGCTTTAATTCCTCTTGCTAAATAGATCTAAATATCAACGAAATATGCAAGTCATTTAAATAACGAAAACTATCAAAAAGTTGTAAAATCATCTTATCAAAAACTTTTCTGTAGATGTTTTGGATTTTTTAATAATTTCAATAATGATAAAAGTAAAATCACAAAATCTGAAGGTGAATTATGATCACAAGATAACCGAAAAATGAATTCCCTGTCAGATGATGGGGTAAAAACAAAAAAACATACTATCATGCTTATCTCTTTGATCAGCCTCAATGCCAGGCAGCGCTCCAGCAATACGTCGGAAAAGCTGAAAAATTAAACTGATCTGTTGGAATTTTTCAATTTAATGCCCGCCAACTGTAATTCACATTCAAGACCATTTACCTGCTTCACATTATATCCAGCTTTTGCCGATGTTTCAATAAACATAACATTCAGTTCCTTCGCCTTGCGCTCACCTTCCTCAGTAGACACTTGCCTGAAATCTTTTAATCACATTTCTTTCTTATTTTTTTAGCATTCAGCAATCCTCAATCTAGTGAGTGAGTAAATATTTGCAAATATTCGTCCAAAATCCAAGAATCATGCACTTCCTAATACGATTAAGCAAAATCGTCACAAAAATCATCAACCTATCGTCACGTGATACTTACTCAACATTTTCTTTTCTCGAACTTCTACTGCTCTATTTTCAAGATCAATATGGAACCCAAAAACATAGTAAAATCAATTCGAATCGATGTTCTGAAATTAAATTTACCGTTTGTCCGCTAAATCAGTTTTATTGCCCACAAGCATAATGATAACGTCACTTCCTCTTTCCGTGCGAACATCATCAATCCATTTTGATGTTTGGTGAAATGAATTTGCATCTGCAAAAGTAAATCCATTGCATAAAATTTCATTTGACGCTCTAATTTGCATATAACCAGCTCTGATTTAGGCTCTATTTTCAGCTCTAAAAGAATTAAAAATTGCATTAAAATATTTTGGGATATGAAATTTTTTTCACTATTTAAGAAAAAAATTTTTGGTATTCTTGTTGTTTAAGTTTTCGTTATGATGAATGCCAAGTCAAAAAAACTGTTTGAAAAATCTTCTAAATTGTCTCCGATTAGTTTGGAAACACGTGAACAAAGCAGTCAATCACATCCGCTGACTAGAGACATTTCAAAACGATTACCAAATATTCCAACAAGTACTGAACAGAATGAAGCTGCCAACGATATCGAAGCTATGAGCAATCTTTTAGTAAAATTTTGAAACTTTCATTCCAAAATCTACTCTCTTCTCATCTGTCAGAATTTCCGAATTTGCATTTCAGCTTTCATTTTAAATTTTAAAAGTTTTTATTGTTATTTTTCCGCATTTCTGTTTGTAGCAATTAAAGATAATTATTATAGAAATGAGAAAGAAAATGACAAAAAAAGTGAAATACTGAATTCACTTTTCGATACATTTTAAAAGCGACAAAGAAAAGATTTCATTTATAACCACTCCTTGTGAACTGATTAAAACTTTGAACAGCAAGGATGAAAAGGAAGTTCCGATTTCTAAACAAGAATTTGAGATGAAATTACCAAACAAGAGAAAGAATGTATGAAACGAAGCAATCCCTTGACAATGGAATGAAATAAATTTACACTTAAGAATAATTATTGTAGATAGAAATGCAGAAAGAAAATGACAAAAGAAGTGAAATGCTGAATTCTGTTTTCGATAAAAATTTCGATGGAAAAATCAAAACCTGCATCAATACACGTGCTGAGATGGAAACACGTGCAACAGCGTTTGAAACAATAATTCAGTCCGAAACACTTATTAAAAAGCCAATGTACGGATGATCATTTGAAAAAAAGAAAAGCATGCATCAAACAGAACATGTTTTTGCATCAAACAGAACATGAAAAATGTTTTACTGCTTGCCAAACAGAACATGGCAAGCAGTAAAATATTTTTCAGTGTTCCACATAGTAAATGAAGTATTGCCCTCCTATAGCCAAATGATGCTCTGCATTAAATAATTCAAGCTAAAGATAGAATCAAAAATTCTATAAATAAATATGAAAAGTTCGCGACTTAACTAAAAATATAAAAACATCAATAAAAGGAGTAGTGAAAGACTGCTGAAAAATTATATTTAGTTTCAATAAAGCAGTAAATTAGAATTTTACAAAAATTTGAAATTATGGCGATTAAATAGTCATCCTTGAAGAGAAAAAATTTACTAAATGGACATGAACATCAGTAAAAGAACTACAAGAAAGATTAATGTATTAATTGATATAAACAGAACGACAGTGATTTACCAGTGGTTTCAAAGAAAAACCATTTTTTGTATTTTAGTAAGGAAATCACGACCGAAAATATCTATGAAGAAATATTTGGAATCAATTTGAGTCAAACAGGTTCAACATCTGATAAACTCAGAATGTCACCAATGCAACAAGTTGCTGAAGCGAGTTCCAACGCATCACAACCACCTCGTAATGCTGTGGACGTTGTATCACCGAGTAAGGTGTCATCCAACAAAATCGAAAGCGAACAAATCCTCACTGACCAAGCAGAGAACGCTGATAAAAAAATAACAAAGGGATTCGGTGAGACAGCACTGACAAAAGTTGGTCATTGGAGCAAGAGTGCTTTCAATTTTTTCCGAACAAAGAATGTTAATTCAGGTCAACGTGGTGAATATTTTCGTATGATTTTAGATACATTACTATAGTATATATACTACTATAGTATTGTCTCATTACAGTACCACAAGAGTGTATTTTACGAGGACACCTATTACATTACTAAATGATATCAGTTTTGTTTTCCTTTCATTTAAAAATCTTTCGCTTAACTGTACGTACGATCATTTAAAATCTTATAGGAAAAGATGCAACAATGCTTCGAAAGACTTCGGAAAAAACGTCAGATATTGAAAATGACCGTTCCCGTATAAAAGAAGCAGAAATCGACATAATACCTCAAGAAAATCTTAGGCGAACACGTTGGACTCGAAAGGTAAAATCACGGAGTTATCGTGAAACAAAAGGTCAGAAGCCTAAAAAAACACTTCGAAGAGGTGTAAAACAAAAACAACCAAAAAAAGTCGAATCTGTTCCAAAAATGCCTGCACCTACAGAACTTGGTAACACAAGTAATGAATTAAAAAAACATGCAGCAAAGCTGACGGAAGCAAAAAAGAGATTAAAAGAAAGAAACGCAATCAAGTTTAACAAAAAGAAAAAATCAAATCTAAAAACAAAAGGAACACATTCACATAAATATGCTAGTCGCCAAGACTTCATGGACGGCAAAAAGGAAACTAAGCAAAATGTTGAAAAATCAAAAAAAGCACTAGCAAAATTAAGATGAATCCTAAAAGAAAGCATAGAAAACAGGTGCCAAAAAATAAAAAGTTTAGAGATTGAAAATTCGGTAGCAAAACTCACGTAAAAATTTACAAATTATGCTGTCAGCACAAAAACATTTCGTATAGAAAACCTTAAAAATAAAAAGTTATGTAAGCAATATTGAAGTGGGGTTCAATTTTCTGCTTATTCTGTATAGCCAAAAACATTTAAGGATCTACAAAAAATATTGCTCCACATGACGACACTCATTCATAAACTGCGCGAACTATAAAAGATAAGCGTGCAATACGTCACAGAAAATATTGTCATCTGAGGCTGATTTACACGTTACAAGGGCAATAATAATTCTTACTGTCATGAACAAACATATCCTTTCGGTCAAATAGTGAAACGCTATTAAACTGCAAAACTAACTTGTGATGTCGTATACGACAACAGCGACAGTCGAATCACGAATGTAAGATGGGATCAAAGATCGGAAACGTTCCTGACCTGCGGTATCCCAAAGTTGTAGCCGAACCTGAAATAAATGTCCATTAGTATTGTAGCTTTTGTTCTAATTTTTGCCACTAACTTTGTCAAGGTAATTTACATAATATATTCAACTCTATAATCTATTATTTATATCTACTGTAATCTTTTCTATCTCACATGAATAGTTTGTGTAAAAACGATTGCAGCCCACTTCCACTAAAAATATCTCAAGAACAGAGATGAGGCTTGCAAATAACAGTTATTATCATTATGCTAATAATAGTGTTAACATTTGGAATAAGGAGTACTTGGCGCAAAACTTTAAAAGTTTTCAGAAAAATATATACCGTTCTATCCTCAAGATACATAGTTTTGCTCAAGAAATCGATTCCTATAGTAGCTTGATAGGTGTTATCAAAACTGTCGTACATAAATCGTGTTATCAACGATGTTTTTCCAACTGAAATGATTTACAACGTAATGTAACTATACAACGATAAAAGAAAACAATTGTTGAAATGGAAAAGGACAGAAACCTGACAAAACGCTTACCACTTTGTTCACCCAGAAATACTAATTTGAACTTTTTCAATGGATTACCAAAATCTGAAGCCATATTCTGAAATAACACCCATTCAACTTTTCATGCTAACATAGTCACGTAAAGCAACGGATAAACACATAAAAAAAGACTGTCTCAGTAACAGCTTGATTGAAAACAACCGGAAAACCCCCGAGATTTCTCTCCTCCGCCATTTTTCACAACCATAACCGGAAAAACTATCGTTTCATGTCACCGTCGAACATGCTTTGCCTATTGCAGCACTCTACTCTTTCCAGATCTATTGGAGAAACTGTTCGTGGTTGGCTCATGACATGGATAGAAAGGTTCACGCACACACACGCACATGCACACGCATATATACGCTTACAGACATACGTATGCAGACACACATATACGCTCACAGATGCATTATGTGAATTTTTTAGGACTAAAGTGTAGCTGATAAATGATATATTGCAAGTGTGTCGTCATCTCGTTATCACTAGGAGTGTAATAATATGGCCTGAATTATCCCTTCAATGACTGGACAAATAGTGAAAGATAAATTCCGTCTGAACATGCTTAACCCTTCTAGTTTCGGAACTTAGAAAATAATTAACATTGAATTGTGAGATGTGTATCAATGAACTCATGATTGGCTTATCAATTTATCGCTAATGCTTTTTCTCTGTACGTCTTCTTCCTCGTTTTCCCTTTTCTCCCTCCCTATCTCTCTTCCCCTCTATCATTAAGGAAATGATGAAACGATGATAAGAATCAATTTTTACAAGATTATGTTATTTCTGATCCGAATTATTGTTAAGGATGAATGCATCAATGAGATCACTGAACTTTGAGAATTGCTTAAGAAGGAACAAATTATTAAATGTATTCTTTGATTCTCTCTTTCGTTTCCCATATCAATTCACTTTCAACTTGTTCGGCGTTTTTAGATTGAAATCGATGATAAAATATTTTAAATGATTTCAGAATCAATCTTTTATTCCTTATTGATTATTTTTTCCTCATTTCAGTAAATTAACACGTTTAAAATTATAGTAAAACTGAACAAAAATATAGCGAAACATGCTCGACCCACCTATTCGTTGCAGGTTTCATTTTTATAGTTGGCATTCCTGATCCTGCAGAAGAAATAAACAGCATTGGAGTTTTATGTCCATTATTAAATATTAAACAATTAACGGGCACTATATCAAAATCTAATGTTTGCTGCAGATATTGGAAATAAAAATTAAAGTCACATATAATTATCCGATTCTGATCACAATATCTCAAATTTATCGCTATTCGCCGATGATTATCCTTCAAGTATCACCATATCTAATTCATTCTTAGCCGATTTATATTGATGGTTATTCCGGGATTATTCAGGTACAGTCAATTATATATGAGCAATGTTTCCGTGCTATAAATAGTGATTCTCTGCGCATTTCACATTTTTAAAAGATTTCGAATCATTAATATGACGACACAGACCTGCTCTGTTCAGTGCATATAACTTGATGAAATGGTTGCATTACTTGTTTTCTGAATTCTCCCCAAATAAAGATAATATTGTCCTTTGTTAAGTTCATGAACACACACTCTCTCTCTCCCTCTTTCTGATTACGTCAAAATCTTTTTGTCGTTAAGAAAATGTACCATACAATGGTGATGTTCATTCAGTGATGTCTTCTTTGCTCTTCCTTTTATAATCCGCTGTATACTTTTATGTTACAGCACCGATCAGACTTTTTTCTTGATCTAACAATTTCTGCATTTCTGCAAGTATTTCTTCTCCTAAACCTTTTTCAGTTTTATTTTTTTTTTCAATTAATAACTGTTTTAAATATCATTAATGTTGTGAAATGATACCGCTATGATACAATTGTAATCAATACATTCGATTATTTCAACTGAAAAGTAAAATCAGTTGACGTCCAAAAAAATATACGTCGCTTTTCTTACAGTACTATTTTAGTACCATTGCAATTTTCTGAAATAAGGTAAACTGAAGTTAAAGAATTATTTGAGGAAGACTGGAAAGATAATGAAATATCGGAACAAACGTTCTTCCTTAGTGGAAATAAAAATATTTAGTACAAGAATTCGTTTCGGTGAATTTCGGTGTAAGTTTTCAGCGCTAACAAGAAAAGGATTTGTCTAATACTTTTTTATCTTTTTATAAAAATTGTTTTAGCTTAAAAGAGTTTATTTCTTGCTTGCAAAAAAATTGGTGGAAAGAACAAAAATAATTGGGACAGTTAGTGCAGAACAAAAGACTGATATTAATATCATTATCAGAAATCACTCATCACCATTTCCACAACTTCCTGTGGAATTTCCCATTGTTTAAATTACATTTTTTCAAAAACCAGTACTGATAATTGAAGTATCAAGTCAATAATAGGACAAGCCTTTTTCCTACTTTTCTAATAACCTTTGTGTAAGCTTTTCTTGAATTTTTTGAATTCGAAATAATAAGTTTAAATAAAATATCTTTTTTCTGTGTTTTTTCTCTCTTGGACTGACAGGTAGCATCTTCATATGCTAATGCTTTCCTTCAAAGTTAATATTTTCTCCTTTGCTTGCTATTTGTATATGCGAATTTCACCAAATATTCTTTCACTCATCTTCCGATGTTCCAAATCATCAGCCTTGTGCTGGAAGTGAGTTTTCTTTCAACATTTAAATTCCTGAAAATCGTTTCATTAGTAGTTTAAGAAGTTTTTTTCGTAAAGTTAATTTAATTTAAACAAAATCGCGACTATTTAACTCTATTTCTCTAATTATCGGAAGCATGTTTGAGTACCATTTCATTTCTCTTGTTTGTAAATTACAAATGGAATGAATTCGGTATTCAAAACTAGTAACAAATTTGTTTCTTATATAAATAGTATTTATTTTGTGAACAATTTTTGTAAGTTATCTGAGTGATTTTCTCCTTGCATTTCAAGGTCGTGTTAATTTATTTGAATTTCGAATTTCATATTTAAGTTAGTTAAAATGAGACAGCGTTCTGCTTAGCTTAATTAGAATTGAACAGTTTTCACCTTTCTTTTACTTTCTACAAATAAACATCATTTTTTATTTTGTATTTTAATTTTTATTGATAAAATCTTCAGTTGTTTTAAATTGAATTTCGTTAATCGATTAGTTTAAGTGTTAAAAGACAAAAATTTACGACCTTGAAATAATGGTTTTGTAGAAAAGAATGACTGATTTGCAAAAAGTGACACGAGGACAGGTAGCAGAACATAAGACCAGTAGTAATCCATGGATCTGCATCGGAAACAAAGTTTATGACCTCACGACGTTTCTGGACCAAGTTCGTTTTTAATAATTTAGTAATGTCATATCAGTTTCCATAATGAAATCTATATATTAGATTCCGTTTCATCGTGTGCATATCTCTGTGGTAATTTCAGCACCCAGGAGGTAGTGAAGTGTTAATGAAGCTAGCTGGTCTTGATGCTACCGAAGCATACGAAGATATCGGCCATTCAACAGATGCTCAACTTCTGAAAGAGCAATATTTGGTAGCGGAAATAATTGAGGTAAAGAAAATAATGTTTAGAAAAAAGAAAATAGTGTTTTCCTTAATTTTGAAAGTTTTGTTGTTCTGTTTATAAATTATAAGCGATTTTCTTCTCATTTCTTTTAGCTTATTGCGAGAATTTTTCTAGTTTTTTGATGACTTATAGGACTTTTTTACACTTAGAATTTGAAAACTTTTAGCTACAGCGTAAAAAAATGCATTCATCTTTTTTGGCTTACAAGCAAATTAACAAATAAAGTTTTCAACTAACTATTAATATTCATGCTGTTTTGAGATCCTTGTCGTCATTAATTTTAGGAGGAAAAGATGACATATTCATATGACAAGGAAAAATGGTTTGAGAAGGAAAATGGTGCTAAAAATAAAAGGTAGTTTCAGCAGGAAAAGAATTTATGAATGTTACTGTAGAAAGAAAGAAATTTTGTTGAATTCAATTTTTATTGTTATATGATTTGTCAACATACCTTCTTACAATTAATAACTCAATCACATATTTCAGTGTCGCAATTATAATAAAATACAAAGATTATAATAATGTGTTTTAAATTTAGTGATTCGGCTATGATGGATCCGATGACATTTGTTGCGCTGTTGGCAGTAATGTTTGCTATCGTATATTATTTCTTGTTTTATTAATGTTGTTTGGTTCACAGATGTTTTAAAATTTGTATTTTTTCTCAAAACTTTACATTTTTTCAGGTTTGCTATATTACTTAATCCTTTTATTTTTTTCCTCCCCCCTCATGTGATAGAAAAAATCACAAAAATTTTCTCGTAATTGTTTTTTATGAGAAATTCATCCAAAGTGAACAAATTTCTGATTTGTTTTGATCTATCCAATACACCGAATACTATTCGACACATAGTTGATTTACGTACACTTCTTGTTTTGTAAGCTCAATCAATACAATGATTAATTTTTTCTTCATCCATCTGAAATTTCATCGTAAGCAATTGCTGGATGCTCCATGCAACAATGAACTTACGATTTTGGGCAATGATGCTTCTAGCCATTACCACTGAAATAACTGCTATACCATCAAAAAAAAGCTTTACA